AAAGGGGTTAATCGGGACAAAGGACACGAGAGGGTTTTATACTAGTTCGGCCACTTACGATGAAGGTAGAAGCCTACGTCTAGTTGGGATTGGTATTGCTGGGGTTTCGATCACCAAGAGGCTCAACTCGCCGGCTTGGTTATCGACTTGTTGTTTCTTGCCCTAAGCCGCCACCGGGTCGTCCCCTTATATACATGGGTTGACGCCTGGTGGCCTACAGAGTCCCGGCCGGCTCATAATCGTGTCCGACTCGGTGACTTCCTTTACATGCCTTTCTTTACAAGTCTTTCCTTACATACGGCAGTTCACAATATCAGGCCTTAAACCGCCTTCAGGCCTTTGGGCCTTCTATAAGACTTAATAAACTACAATCTTGAATGTTTACTGGGCTTCTTGTGTAACCCGCCATTGGGGCTGACCCGGCCCCTCCTGGGCGGGTCATAACCGATAGTAATATCCCCAACAATTATGCTTGTATTATCATGATATTTACATAGAAATTATCGGGGTATGTTTTTCAACAATTCTCACCACATGGTGAAAAGTGGATGTGGTATTTGTACGTGAGTTTTTTTATGGGATATTTGTACGTGAGTTATCACCTCAGATGTTTGTATATAGCCGGACGCGAACTAGGAGCACTCGGCGATGATGCTTACCGGAATCTCACCCGCTGCTCTGTTGTCTAGGGATCAGTGCATAATTAGATTAAATGAATAGTTGTTGTTGAATGCACCGCTCCATCATAGATTGGCATAGTGCGTTCCTGTTTGCCCGCATTATGTTAGGGCCAAAGCCGGACTGAAAGCACAAAGTATAGCTCATCATTTATTGGACTGCAAAGACTATTGAGCCACCTATACTTTATATCCACCTTACTAATTACACCAGTTGTATTGTTCAAGAGGAAGACTATCGTGGCATGAGTTCTGTGAGACCGCATTTAATAAGAACAAGTATAATAGAGCTGAATCAGCGGGCTATAAGAAATAAAATACTCCCTCCATTCCCTTATACAAAGCCACTATGAAAAATACAATTTGCATCTATACAAGGCCACTAATAGTAATCGAGGCAAAAAATAATGATGTTTCCTCGTACTACCAACTTTTTTAATACTTGCATGCATGTAATCATAATGACACTGTGCTACTTTCTTCCATTCCTTCTTTGCATGTATGCGGGCGTATTAATGATCCCGGTTAACAAAAAGAATAATTGACTTGCAATTTGAGTTTGTGGCCTTGTATAAGGGAATGGAGGGAGTAGTATATTTCTGCTTAGTTTGAAGAAAGAGAAGAGGAGAGAGAAGGTAAGTGGGCTCTTCGTGAAGAGCCAGCTCTAGTACATACTCCTAGACACTTTGTGAGAATGAAAGATGAGCCACATAATAAAAAAATAGTACACTTTTTGATCTACTATTATACATGTTGGCTATAAAATGGGTTGTAGATGACATAACACTGGCTTATAGCCAGCAGCTAGCTATACTATTAACCATGCTTTAAAAGGAAAACCAGGTATTGCTATCTAATGAAAATAAAGCTATATGCTCATCCAAGCAGATCGTATGTTATTAACACAAGTGTGTCTTTCACTATCTTATTTTCCTCCAAGGAAATCAATACGCAAGCGAGACACATGCATGGTTGTGATTCCTGGTCTAATTTCTTTGAATATGGTAGCACCAAGCAAAGGGGACCCACGCCTAGGCATGCAGGGTTTGTTGGTTCAGACGTAGAGCATTAACTAACGAGTGTCGTGTGGAACGCGCCCTAATAATGCCTTGGACACGAAAGTCTGTACCAAGAATTCTAGCGCCAGATTTATTGTCAACCTAATTTTTATAGAAGTACTTTATATCACCTGACCAGATGTAAAAATTCAAAAAGGTGTGTACTCGTTGTAAAAAACCCAAACTACAGTCCTCTGTTCAAGAGGTGAAACCCCTGCACCGCTGATAAATGAATTTGCTGTCCAGACAGGTAATATAAACCCAAACAGATCAACTAGGATGGCTAGAACCAAAAAATACATTATTATCAGCGTGGTTGTGCAAAACAGAGGAACGACGAGAAGATATCAGTCAGGTGACCTTGACACAGACGAACAACAGAGCAAGGAGATTAAGCACTAAAAGAGCAATGACGGGGGAAATTTCCAATCTTCACGAGATGAGTGGAAGCGGTGGTTCTTCACCTAGGCCAACGGGAGCAAGAACCATCTAGAGAAACTAGGAAATGGATGGGCTCTCGAGTTGTGGGCGTCAAATGGATATAAAATAGTGTGAAAGAAGAAAAATATGAGGGAGAAGTGAGGAGGGGCCAGTTGGAAGGACGAGGAGCGTCTTCGCATTTAGTTTAGATGGATGGTTGGTGGTTTGTAGTTGAGTTCAGCTCGCGTAGCCGAATTGAAGGATCTGTACCGAACCGCGTGGACTTTAAGGCCTACACAAGTGAAAAGCAAATGAGAATACGAGAGGATAAAGTTAGTAATACAATGTGGCTAATATAGTGGTTGCGGATCTCAAGATGACTGGGTGGGTAAGATTCTGGTGGGCACCATTGCCGAGTGCTCCTATGCAATTTCGGTATATAGCCATGCTATTTACACCAAATTACAAGTGGTATATTTTTTTGAACAACTTTTATCTCGAGGGTGAAAAGTTACCGCGGTGTTTATACATGACTTATTAGTTCTGATGTGCATATATTACCATGTTATTTATAATGAAGTTTCTGGGGTATATTTTTCAATTGTCTCAGAATCATATCGTGGTGTTTCTGTTTGTCTGTTTTTAATCCAACGACCAAGTCGGCAAGGCACCACACTGTTCACCGGTGCCTTGGCTCGGTCAAGGCACCGGATCTCAGTCCCAGCCAAACAGCCCAACTGGGCAAGGCTATGAGAGCAACTTTAAGGGAAAGACCCATTTTATCCGTTTGGATCATCCGGACACAAAACTTGACCCAACGGGACGACACAAACGGACGCGGGTGTCCGCCTGCTGTCCTCCCTGACCCAAACTTGACCTAAATATAGGAAAAAATTGGATACGAAGCGGATAGAAGCGGACGCTCTCGTCGACCGCTGTCGTCCGCTCGTGTCCGCTCCTGGTCCCACCTAGCAGTGCCCCGCCCACGCATCGACCGAGCCGGCTCCCCGCTAAAGCCGCCCGTGCAGCCCACGCCTCCATCCCGTTTCTTCTCATCCGCATCCACACATCTCCAGAACAAGAAAAGAGATCTCCCCTTCCACCTCAATCCTACTCCTCGGCCTCCTCTCGCCGCCGAGCCAAGCGTAGCAACTGATCGGTCGCTGCTCCGTCCATCCATGTCGTCGCTCGCCGTCCGCTGCGGGCTGGAGTGGGAGCTCGGCTGGCTCCGGGGCCTCTTCACGGCCGCGGAGCTGGCGGCCGCCGACCTGCTCCTGCAGCTCAGCGAGGACTACGAGGCGGCCGCCGCAGCGTCGAAGGCCACGATCTTCCCCTCGCCGCGCTCGGCGAGCTCGTGCTGCGAGGTCCCCGTCAAGGAAGTGAAGGAGCGGGTCGTCGAGGAGACGGCGCCCTTGCCGCTGGGGTCGCTGGACAGGCGAGCGAGGAGGAGCTCGGCAAGCGCGTGCCTCGAGGACCTCACCATGGTCGGCGAGGAGGAGCTGGAGCCCCCGCAGATCGCTAGGGAGACGGCGCCGGCATGGAGGAGACGGGGTGCCGGTGTAGCTGCTGTCCGCTCTCTCCGCTTTTGGGTTCTTGCGTTGGATGCCTGTCGTGTTCGTCCCATGTCCGTCAGGCGGACATGATGTTTTTTGTCTGTTTGGGTTCGTGTGTTGGAGTGGCTGACGGACGAGGGAAATAGCATGCTCTCTGTCCATGCACGGAAGGCGTTTAGGCCCTGTTTGGTTCATAAGTCCTAAGACTTTTTCTAGTCCCAACTAAAAAGTCTCTGGTCTCTAAAAAGTCCCTCCATGTTTATTTCCAGAGACTAAAAAGTCCCTAGTCCCTTCCTAGAGGTTATTAAATGACCATATTGCCCCTAGTATATAGAGAAATAACAATCAAACAACATCATGGGGTGACGGGCCAATGAATGCAGAGGGGCATTGTTGGAAAAGTCTCAAAAAGTCTCAAAAAAGACTCACCTTGAGAGTCTTCCTCATTTAGTCCCAAATGTCAAGTTTAGTCCCTAAAAAGTCCCCCCCCCCCCATTCGTAAAAAAGTTTCTAAAAGGTCCCTGGAAACAAACACCTCTTTAATTTCTTCGACAATCGAGGCGTCTAAAATGGTGCCAGATTACCGCATCCATTTTACTACCTTCATTTCAGTTTACAAGTCCTACGCGTATACCTAGGTGGTCAATTTTATCACCTTAATATAAATTATATAACACAAAAATTATACGGTTTGAAAATAGAACATCTAAAGTTTATATTGGTATATTTTTTGTAATATATGACTTGTATTAGGTTGGTTAAATTGACGACCTAGAGATACGTACACGCCCTGTAAACTGAGAGAGGTAGTAATACCCTTCACGGTTGAAACAGATCATACCAGTGACCGAAAAACTGCAAATCGTGAGTGGTTTCAAGGTTGCAATCAAAATCCAGAGCTGAAAACTACCACAGGCAACATCAGCTTCGAACGTGACACTGAAAACAACATGCAGCATCCATCGAACGACAATATCAGAATCACCCAAACCTTAGAAAACAGCACCAAGTTGTCATCAGCCCGTGAACCGTTATCCAACAAACACACACTCTGACTCAGGAGCTAAGCCAGTACCCGCTACACGCTACAGAGAACTTGTACTAATTCAGGGATCAAACACACACTGATTCAAGAGTTAAAGCTAGTAAGCGCTAACGCCAACAGAGCATAATTAAGAACTTCAATTGAAAAAAACATAATTAAGAGTTTGAACTACTACTTCCTGACATAACCATTGCATAGATTCAGGCACAACCAAACAGAGCTAGCAGCACTCTGCTCCCCGCATCCGTCAGGCCGGGGCGTGGAAGAGACGCACGTAGCGTCCCCGGGCGTCGTAGGAATGCGCGCAGTTCCAGACCTTGACGATCTGGACGGGGACGACGCTGGAGGAGTCGTCAAACATGTAGGCGATCCGGAGCTCGCGCGGGATCTCTCGAGGGTGCCCCAGCTCAAGGACGACGCGGACCGTGGAGAGGTCGGGCGCCGTGAAGCAGGCCGGGTCGATCTCGCGCAGGAACCCGAAGCGCCGGCAGTTGTCCTCGATGTCCTCGGCGGTCCGCTGCTCCACGGGGTAGTCGTGCAGGGCGACGTGGGCCATGCAGTCGGTCTCGGGGACGGGGACGTTGGGGACGCTCTCGGTATCCCGCAGGAGCTTCACCGTGACGCCGTCGACCTCGAACGGCTGCCTGCGCATGGCCGCCTCCCGCTCGGCGGGCGTGCCGAAGCGGAGCGTGGCGTCGCCGTACCCGCAGGTCGGGAACACCTCCAAGGTGTGCGGCAGGTCGGGGGCCAGGGCGCGGAAGACGCGGCGGATGAGGGGCACCGGGTCCGTCCCCGTCCCCGGGGTGATGTACGCGTACGCGAAGCGCTTCGCGTAGAGCACCTCCTCCGGGCTGCGGCGCAGCGTAACGTACGCGAGCTCCGGACGGGACCGGGGCGTCTGCGACGGCGGGACGGCCAGGCGGACGGCGGCGGCGGCCGGGAGGACATCGTAGCCCTTGAAGACGTCGTAGAAGGCCGGGCGGTCGGTGGGAATCCGCAACGCCGTCGCCCCCTCCGGGAGCAAGGGGACGGTGGTGCGGGCAGCCATGTCGACTTTTGGAGGCAGTGGAGCGAATGGAACGGGAGGAGTGTTGCGAGGAAGACTGGAGTGCACAGGATGCTGGGTGCCTGTCCATTTTTAAGGTCCTCGGGGCATCGACCACAGACCACTGGAGGAGAGGTTGGTGCTCGTGCAGTAATGGCAGCGTGAACCGGCGAGTTGGAAGGTGGCGTGCCTTGCGGGTTTTGGGCAAGTCAGGGTTGGCGTGATGCCATGCACATAGCGCGCACCTCGAGGCTTGAGTTCATGGTCAGGTCAAATCGAAGGCAGTCGGAGTTGCCGTGACAGGTCGTGCAGATAGGACATAACACTTATTATAACCTAAAGATGGTCTATATGCAGCATTCAAATAAATTAAAGGGCTCGTTAAATTTTCTTTTTTAAACCCAGTACAGACGCAAGCACGCATATACATGTGCATACACTCATCCATATGAAAGCACACACGCACACTTTATCTCTATGAGCATCTCCGAAAGACTGAACCAGCATATCATCTTGAAATTTACTAAGTTGCCGTAGGCACTTCGTCATTGACGGAGACGTCTCCTTCCATTGAATGCGCATCGCCGGAAATCCTGAGATAAATACGAGCACAAGGACTTGAATCCTAATGGGCTGGAATAACCACCATCACTTTTTAACCATGCAACCATAGGTTGGTTCGCTCGTTAAATCTCGATTGACTAAGATTAGCAAAGTCTTGGATCATTTTCTACACCATTGGATCCTTGCTTAACGATTGATGCACTTTGAGGTGGTCTGGTTGTTGTTGTTGTGTTTGTTCGCCTAGAACAGGTGTATGTCCGTCGGACCTTTTTTCTTATGAAAGTGCGGAGGATCTCGGTCCCCCGCCGGTGGTAGGGACCTCATTTTTTTTTGCTAGGTTGAACGTCTTGGTTGGGGCTGTGTGGCGGCGGCGATGTCTCTTGGTAGCAATAATGTCTTGCACGTCCTATCCTCGTCCTGATGGTCCGAATAGCGTCGTCGGAGGATGTGTGGAGGTGTGTCTCTGTCGGATCTCATGGGATTCGGTCGATGCTGGTCTTCGGTGAATCTATTTGGAGCTAGTTTTTGTTCTTCTTCGTTCGTGTGGTTCCAGTTTTGATCTTTTCAATCTACAACTATCTTCATCGGCGATGGTTGCTGCTCTGGTGTGCTGGTCCTTTGGGGCCTTAGCACGACGACTTCTCGACTGTTGTGATGGTCCTTTGGGATCTTAGCACGACGACTTCCCAACTATCTACTACAACAAGGTTTGCCCGACTCCGGTGATGGAGGGGTGATGACGGCGACACACCTTCGGCTCGCTCCAGTGCGTGTAGTCGTCGATACGTGGTCCATAGACCTAGTTGTAATTTTTATTGCCTCATGTGTTCTCTGTACTGCCATGATTGATGAATAGATTGGAAATTTCTCTTGCAAAAAATAAATAAATACATAGTTCTTTTTTCTTTTTCTGCATGATGTACCAGTCTTTTTTTGCGAGAAGATGTACCTGTTATATGTCCGTCGAACCATTTTTCTTGTTGGGTTAGGACATCTTCAAAGCTGATCCGCAAATGTCTTTGGTATATGTCTGTTTTTATGTCTGGACGTGGTCCGCAGATATGATGCGGGAGGGAACCATTCAATACCTAATCACAAAGTATCCGTCTAGGAGGAGAAAAAGTAGGTCGGGACCGTGCATATGGTGGGATCTTTCTATTTTGGTGTCCGGTTGGCAGAAAAGAGAGAAAAGAGTGACCACCACGTGTGGTTGGCAGGAGATAGAAGAGAGGACCATGCATGTGATTGGTCAAATGCATGTCGGACTCCGACAAAGTCCCCACACTTATCTCAAGGATACCGAAATCTGTACGTCCGAACTGCAAAGCAGACATATACAGATCCTCATTGAATGGAAAAAGTGGTCCGGACACTGCTGTCCGGACATATAGTGAAGATTTAAGGGTACACTTTGGAGATGCCCTTGTTAGATAGATCTCTTCCCCAATGGGCCCAACGGCCCGTTGGACCCTTGACCCACGCCCTGGTCGGGGGCGTCCAGCCCAAGCAAGGCTGGTGGGCCCCAGTCGCGCAGTGCCATATAGAGGAGGTGGGGACCACGACACAAGGTACGAGGTTCGCTGTCGCCATTGTTCCTCACTCCTAACCCTAGTCCAATCGAGAGGGAGGCGTTGAAGCGATGGGAAGCTCCACCCCACCACTCACGCACTCTCTGCCATCATCGCCGTAGCCATCCACCATGGCCACTTCGGCGGATTCATCCACCTATGGAGAAGGTAAACCACCACAAACCACTGTAAACTCCAAGCCTACCCAATCCAGAGTGCTATCAATGGTATCAACAAGATTAGGTTTGAGTTTTTCGGTGGAAATAAAAAGAATCAAAGCCCTCCCCACAGAACCCTAATCTACAGGGTAAAGAAAACACCTCACCGGAGAAGGGCCTCGGGCCTCCCCGGCAAAAAGCGCCACCGCAAGGCCGCACCTTTCCTCTCGATCCGGACGGGCATCGGCGCGTCGAGCCGTCCGGAAGAAGAACCACCAGAGTTAGCCCAAGGGCTCGCCAGAAAAGGAGAAGGGGGCACCGCAGCCAAACCGCTCGACGGCGGCACGCTCACCGCAAGGTGGGCGCACAGCCGGCGAGGGGGTAGGCCACGACGCCGCCGTCGGAACCTTCACCGCACTCATCGTCCAGATCGAGAAAGAGGAGGCACTGGTGGTGGAGACAAAGAGGAGAGTACAAGAGGAAAAGGTGGAGGAGAGGGTGGCGCGCACAGCGCGGTTACTATCGTTGCCGTTGCCGGCGGCCAGTGAAAACTCGCTGGTGGCCTCGAGCCCCAGCCGCATCAGAGAGAGCACCGAGCGGCGTGGATGATGAAAGGAACGGGGAATGAGAAAGAGTCGGCGGCCGGACGCGGTGCGGTGGTCTCTTGGCGCCATCGCCGGCGGCCGGGCGCAACCCCGTGCTTCCTTCGTCAAGAGAGAGAGCGTGACGAGAGAGAAAGAATTGGGGGATAGAGTTTTCGGGGCTGGAGTCGCTGCCTCATTTTGATCTAGTGAGGAGCGCGGATGTCCGTCTGATCAGATCGGACGGCTAGGAGGAAAAACCTAGCTCGTTGTCGGGCTTCAGGGCCAAAAGAAGGTGGGATTTTGGTCTGGTGGACCAGGCCAGAGAGCAGCGCCCCGCGCTGGGCCATTGGGCCGGTTACGGCCACTAGCGGCACGCGCTCAACAGGACAGAGAGAAGCGTGCAGCTGTCTTCTGTTTTTTGTCTAGTTTTTGGACAAATTTCATACAGTTTTGCTATTCAAAATTATTCAAAGAAAAATTATCGTTTAGAAAATAGAAAAGTAAAAGTAATGTTTCAGAAAAGAAAAAGTTTATGCTTTTTTATTCAAGTTTTCTGCTGCAAAGTAAAAGTTTTATCCTCCAATTAAATTGGAACTAACGGGAAAATTTAATTGGAAGAACTATTCTTAGCAATGTTTTTCCCCTGTGGGTGAAATCAGATTCAGATAGTTTCCGCTATGACAAAAGAAAGATATTTGTTTTAAAGTTAGAATATGGTATTGTTATTTTCTGACCAACGTTGATGATAACAGTAGTGTAATTCTATGAGTCTTATGTTGAAAGCTTGAATCTCGAATAGATTTTGTATCAAAGTGACCATTTTTTAGAGAACAGATAAAGATCAAGAAATGCTCTTGAGCTAGAGAAATGTATATTTCTTGTTCCCACTACAATAAAGTTGATGATGATTATTTCTTAGAAAAGATGTTCAATAGAAATACTATCATCACATTGTTATGGAATTAATGTAGAAGGATGATGTTTTATTCTAATTCTGCCACAACGGTGATTTAGAATATAAAATGAAAGTTTTAAAAAGTTTAATGTGCATATTTTTTAACCAGACCAAGAGGGTTATTTTTATGCTCATTATTGTTGACTATTGGCTAAGTTTTCTTAGAAAGTTTTTTATGCTTTCATTCGTGAAAGCGAATGGATGGGTACTTGTGACCCGAAAGATGACCAAGAAAGGTCATAACGTGAGGTAGTATGTTCTCTCTAAAGAATGGCTTCAAAAAAAGAATTCTGGGATATTAATCCAAGAAAAGAAAAGAGATAGATCATTGAGAGTCTTGGTTGACGAATGTTTTTCATGTACTCTCTATGAAGATCATTTTGAGATGAAACAAGCAATATGCGTGTTTAATTTGACCAACGCCGGATCAAGCATGTGTGTCAAAGAGCATTCGGATTTATTTCTGAATTTAATGATTGAATATGCAGTCAAAAGAGCCAATTCTGGCATTTATGTCCCTTACAGGGAATTACCCGCATAGCGGGAAAAGATGATTGTAATAAAACCCGCATGGCGGGAAAAGTCTGGGGAAATACCTGCGTGACTGGGTAAAGTTGACATAGTATTATGTCAAACATCCTGTATGGCAGGAGAAATTTTGGCAAAGGACTTATCCTGTATGACAGGACAAAGATATGATGACTCATGTGGGTTTAATGTGTCCCACTCTGAGAGAAAAGTATGGAGTAGCTATTATGCTTTCCTAGTATCGACCGTACACCTTATGTGTAACCGTCATTAAGCACTCAATAAATCCAAAGTGAATAAAAGTTACAGACGAACCTAAAGATAAGATTGATATGCAAGTGTGACTTGCAAAAGTACTAATGATAAAGAACTCTGTTGAGTTTCTGAAATGGAATGAGGAAAAAGTACTCCCATACCAGTTAACAGATAACTTCATTTCGTATGAAGTAATCAGATAAATGAAGTAGATAATCGAAGTTTCCTCAATCCACAAGAGTTATGAATGTTTTTTCGAAATTGTGGCAGAAAAGATCTTGCCACATTTCGAGGGGGAGAAAGAAATATGAGATAAATTAAGAATGATGAACCTCCCCTATACTTTAGATAATGCGATGCACATTATGCATCTAAAGTGATCCATTAATAA